CTTCATTTCAACTTGATTACTTCTGCAAAGATCCTACCTCCAAATAAGGTCATATTCTGAGATACCAGGGGTTTAGGACTTCAACATAGTTTTTGGTGGAAGGAATCTAATTCAACGCACACCAGGCCTCACTCATCTGCCCCCGCAGGCCCAGGGCCGAGGTCTGCACTCACCCTGGCCAGCACCCCCAGTTTATAACCAGACACATAGACCTTCTGCCTTTGAATCTCGACCTCTTGGACTCAGTTAGCCAGAGGCTGGGGAAACAGACCAATTAAAGCTTGCACAGCCTGAAAAACTCAACGCAGGGAGGTCCTGTTAATCATTCTCGTGATTTCTCCAAGCTGGTGCAAGTTCTCAGCTTTGCCTGATTATTCTAACTCTTCACACCTCCTTGGGAAGGGGTGCAGGAGCATGGAAGTCTGGCTGCCTCCCTGGCCTGCCTGTGACTCTCTGCACTGGGACTCTTGCCAGGCAGCCACGAAGGGAAGGTAGCAGGAGCTCCGAGAACCTTTGGGCCGTGGGCTTGTCATTCATGGAAGCGGAAACACCGAGGTCAGGCCTAGCTTTGGTGTGAGAGTCAGGAAAGAGAGGAGGTGCACGGAGCAAAGAGCAGACAACGGGTCAAGAAAGGGGGTGAAGGGGGGCTGCGAAACGAGATACTATTATCATAGACTTCTCCATAAAATAGATAATTTGTGGGTAGTGTATACAAATGATCTCTTCATTAGGCTGGAAGGCAGTTGTGTGTAATAGCTGGGATTATATTTGGCTTTGTATAGCAGAAAATCCCAAAGTAATAGAGACTTTGTGAAGATTGACCTTCATTTCTCCTGTCCGTAAAAGGAGTCCGGAGATAGGCAATACAGGGCCGGTATGGCAATCCCGTGGTCATCAGGAAAACAGGCTGCACTTAAAACTTTGCATCCCCAACCTTAGCATGTCTCCTCTTGGTCTCCGATAGCTCTTCAGCCTCCAGTCATCACATCCAGATTCCAGGTAACAGAAAAAAGGCCTCTCAGAGACCCCACACGTTACTTTTGCTTACACCTCATTGGCCGGAACTTAGTAAGGTGGCCATATAATATTTTCTCTGGGTAGCTATGTACCTAGCAACAACTGGGAATGCGTTATTAAGAAAAGAAGAAGGAATGCTGGAGGGCAAAGAGTGATCTCCACCATCACACTGTATATTAAGGGAAGACAGTTATCATCTAAATTCCCAAACTCACCCTTGAGAAAAAAATATTTCTGAAGCATAAATTCTTTGTGTCCCATAAGATCTCCCCTTCCAGCCCCACATTCCACTGCATTTGAATCATCCCTCAGGTCTCAGCTTCAACCTCAGTCCCTCAAGGAACCCTCCCCGGACTCCTCAGCTTGCATTAGCCTCTTGTCTTATGCTCCTGTTGCACCTTGTGCTTCTCCTTCAAAGCCCTTTGCACCCTAGTCATTATTGAATTAGCTGAAGTTACTTGTGTAAGGACCACCTTGCCTGTAAATTACACTGTCAGCTCCAAGAGGGCAGGAGCTCTGCCTTGCCCACCGTCATCTCCATAGCTGGTGTAGGGGAGGAAGTGCTTCCTTCTACCCTTTTAGGCTCTGGAGCTAGACCTAAGACTTAAGCTGACATAAGACAGATTAACAGGAGAAGAGCATATAATTTTATGTACTATTTTACACGTACACAGGAATCTTCAAAAGGAAAATGAAGACCTGAAGAAGCCATTGGGCCCTGAAGCTCATGCACCTTTTTAAACAAAGAACAATATGGTGTGGGGATGTGACAAGACAAAGGGGCTTGGCTGGGGCAGTAAATTGTAATCCAGTGACTAGGAAATATATGGCAGATAAGCGTCATTTTAGTAGGTTTTTTTTGTACAGGTCCATTTGCGCATCTTCTCCCAGTCTCTAGTGATAAGAACGTTCTACTCTTCCTGGTACAGGGAGGGCACCTTTCTCGGGGGGAAAATTTTGTGACCTGCTTTTAGGTAGAAAGAGGGACGTCAGAGAGCCCTTCCTGCATCTGCTGTTTCTCAGGTGACTTCAGCTCAAATTAATCAATACAAGCGGCATATTTTGGGGTGGCATGTTCTGAACCCCTTCACAGACCCTCAATAACTGTTTAACTGACTGACTGAGTGATTAGAATAGTAGGGAGGCCCTAGACTCAAGGCCATTTCCAGTGGGACTTTTCTTTAACTGACCCCCCTGGCTGAGACCAGGGAAGATCAGCTCCTCCTGTGCGCTGCACCTGCCAGGGTCTGGGCAACCAGAGCGCCCCCACCGAGGTCTGGGAGGGATGGGGTCAGGGCCGTCTGAGCAGCCTCTCTGACGAGGACTCCCAGGCTAAACTCTGCTTTACAAAGCCCGCGGCAGCCAGAAACACACCCAGGAGGGCAGGGGAACAGAAACTGCTGCAGTGTGGGTGAGATTTAGATCTGAAAACGTAACCGGCTGCCCAGTGCTTGAGGAGGAAAAGTAGGTCACCATCTTCCCCTTGGTCTGGCCTGACGCCATCCCCGGCTCTAAAGGGGAAGGAAGGGTTGTGTGATCTCTGGTGTCACAGGCTGTGGGCAGATTTGGTCCCACTCAGCTCTGTGAGAACTATCTGCCCCACTCCTGCCATTCTTAAGACTCCCTAAAAAATCAGGAAACCGTCAGCCCGGGCTGTTCAGCCTTGAGGTCTTGGAAAGAGAGTCTTCTTGAAGCCAGCTTTTTGAGGAGTCCATTTTCCCACCACCCAAGCCAAAAGGCAGGACCCAGCATCCGGAATGGCTCCCAAACCCTCCATTTTAACCTTGTCCCGTTAAGGAAGGAGCAATCTGTGCTCTGGCATGGGAGCACAGGGTTTTAAAGGAGAGAGAGAGAAAGAGAGAGAGAGGTGGGAACCCTGAGAAGACTTACACTGACTTACGCTGACCAGCAGCCCTGAGCACACAGTTCCCTCCGAGCCCCCCGGTCCCGGGAGAGGCGAGACCGGGATGGAGAAATGAAGACTTGTCTCCAACTTGACAGACCCCAAACCCGCCCCTGCCTCCTGTCCTTCCACATTCACCGTGAAGAAATTTAGTCATCACAGTCTGGGCCTCCTTCAACCACTCCTTCTGACCAAGAAGCGAAAAGTGATGCTCGCCCTGGGCATGACGCGGGGATTTTCTCGGGCGGGGCTGAGCGGATTCGCTGCTGTCTCCTCCTCGTTTGGGACGGCTGACGATTGAATATTCGAGAATTTTGTGAGCCAGTTGTGAAACCATTAGTAACTTGAAACCTGCCATGGTGGGAGTATTGACACTGTGGAAATTGGCAAATACTACAAATTAGGGTTTTTGGGTCCCCCCCACCCCACCCAGAGAGCTGCTTTACCTGCCACACACTCATATGGGAAGAGCTCTGAGAGGGCTGGAGATGGCAGGGGAGGACCAAGGGCTGGGCAGCACTAAGGGCGATTGGTGTTTTCCTGACGTCTTCGTGATGTCATCCTTGGACATTTTCTTGGGGTCAGTGCTTTTTTCTGTGGAAACATCTATGAATGCCACTCCTGTTCCATCAGGGGACATGAAGAAGTTTATTTTCAGTCACCCCTATGCTAAAGAACTCCGAGAGCACAACTTCCAAGGATGGGAGACCCATTTTCTGGCAGAAAGAGGAGAGAAGGAAGAGCTGGGGTGGCACCTTTCATAGTAACAAGTCTGTGGAAAAGCAGATACGGGCAGACTGATGATCAAAGGTTGGCTTCCTTCAAATCCCCTGATAGAATCAGCAATCCAAGCCTGCCAATTAAGGCCCCAGGTGATGTTTCTTATGTAAGTAGATCCCTCTGCTTCAGATTTCATTTTCAGAGGTCACAAAAGTTTGAAAGGGAAACATTATTTTCATGAAAAGGATAATAAAGGAGACCAGGATTGGTATAAAGAAATGTTCTTAAATTTCACCATGTTGGTCAACCTGGGGAAGGGGGCGCTTCAGGGAAAACAGATTTCTAGGACTTTCTCCGAGAAATTTAGAATCTGGAGGTCTGCAGAGGGGGCGAAGCACCAGCCGTTTTTTTTTTGCGGTACGCGGGTCTCTCACTGTCGTGGCCTCTCCCGTTGCGGAGCACAGGCTCCAGACGCGCACGCTCAGCGGCCATGGCTCACGGGCCCAGCCGCTCCGCGGCATGTGGGATCTTCCCGGACCGGGGCACGAACCGTGTCCCCTGCATCGGCAGGCAGACTCTCAATCACTTGCGCCACCAGGGAAGCCTGCACCAGCCTTTTTAACACCCCCCCCCCACTTCTACCCCATGATTCTGCTGCTGGTGGCCTGAGGACCACACTTTGAGAAACTGGTCCCAAGAGGGTCCTCAGGAGGTGTTTTGTAGATGGAGTGACCCCTGAGTGGGACTGTCCTCTCTACCTGGATCAACCACCTGCAGCTAGAATCACCCAGGGCCACGCCCAGCGCAGGGGCAGCCTCCCTAGCCAGGCTCCTCCTCTGGGAATCAAAGGATGACAGTGAACTTGATTCTCGGCACAAACGCAAAGAAATCCTTCCCCCATGGACTCAGAGTACCCTCCGAGAGCTACTGAAAGCGCCTTAAGAGTTTAGACTATAAGGCCCAGCAAAACTTATCCCACTTGCAAAGATGAGGTGGAAAGGGGCTGTGGCATCCCACAGATGGTCTCACTCCGGAGAGAGGCTACTGATCCACAGTGGTCCCCCTCCGCCACCCCTGTACACCACTCCCAGGAAGACATCTCATCCCCCATCCAGACAATTCAGCCCTGCCATGATGCCAGAAGGCATCACGGTAATGGAGAGAAAGAAAAGATGCCAGGCTTCACGTCTGCCCACGGCACACCATCTCCTCTGAGGAGACTTCTTCTGCAGCCCTGCCTCAGCTGTACTCTTTATATTTCTAAGCCACTTCCTGTTTCCATTTCTAGGTCGTAAGCCAGACTTACGGTTGGTGAGACTCACTCACCCAGGAGGCCCAGCTATTATCTCCCCTCAGAGACCATGACTGCCTCTCGGGGAGGGTTCAGAGGGTGCCACTTGGAAAACACATGAATTGCCCTGGGCTTTTCAGAATGCCGAGGCCCAGAAGCTTGGCCTGCCTGGAAAATCTCTGACTTGTTTGGTTTGCATTTCTCTGCTGTGCTGATGCCCATGTGCTCAGTTCCCTGGAGGGACTGGGTGAGTACACTTTGTGAAGACACTTTGCAAAGACCTCATTGGAAACCTTGCTTTTCCAGACAGTCGTCAGGCAACAGCTAGCAGTCCCTGAGGAAGACGTGAACAAGAAGCCATTCACAAGCATTCTCTTCTAGAAACCATATTTCAGAACAAGGAGGAAACCACAGCTCAGACGTGCGCTGGTGTTCAGCAATGTGGGTTCACTTGGAGAGAGACAAGCACAGACTTTGCACAATTCTACTGCCTTCCCTCTATGATTTCTAAGCAGTTTACTCATGACATCCACCACTCACTCGGGAGATTATTCTGGAGGAACACTGAGTGCTAAGGACAAGCCACTGGATGATTTGGTCAAGGTCAGTGTGTCAAGTCAGCATCCGGCTGCTATTTTCACCTCCCAGTTCCATTCTCTAACCTTTTTATTCTGTGAAAATGTATCATAAACTGGAAACACCAGATGGCACAGAAAATGCAGAGCTTCAATCTTTTCCCCGCGCCCCTGAGTGAGCCAGGCATTCAGGGATTGTACTGGGGCTTGGGGCAGGGTCCCTGCCAGGGTCACCTATATTGCAAACAACTGCACACCACACCTTCTTCTACAGCAGGGAAGGGAAGGGGAGAGGGAAGAACAGGCAGGAAGACCCAGAAACTCAGGCCAGCCTGTAACTGAGCAGGACCCTATGGGGCCTTCCTGGGACAGACCCCTCCCCCATACCCTTTGCTGTAGCTCCTCTCTGAAGTACCTAGATAACAGTATCTGGTACACATTAGATAACAGTATCTGATACACATTTCTTGCACTGTTTTATAGATGCTAAAATCCCCACCAAATGGAAGAAATTTACTACTTGATGACCATGAGCACATAGCCCCCAGACCTACTAACGCCTAAGCATTGATAATGTGACACCGCCCTGTTATCACACCATCAACCAATCAGAGAATTGTGCACGAGCTGCTCATGTACCCTGTGACTGCCCCACCTCACCTGGCCTTTAAAATGCTTTCCTGAAAACCGCCTGGGAGTTCAGGTGTTCTGAGCACTAGCTGCCCTGGACCCCTTGCTTGGTTCCCTGTGATGAATGCTGCACTTTTCTTCACCACAACCCGGTGTCAGTAGGTTGGCTTTACTGCACCCTTGGGCGAGCAGACCTGAGTTTGGTTCAGTAACAAGCCTAGGAGATAGGGATGCAGGCTGGCTCTCCCGAAAGCAGTCGGGAATGTAGAGTCCTGTCTCTCCCGAGGATATGGGCCTGATCGCAGTGAGATTATCTCAAAGAGAGATAATCTGTCTCTCAATGAGAGAAACAGGTGCAGAGAAGCAACAAAGCCACATATTGATCTACAGAAAACTAAACACACAAAATATGTCATCCTCTTAATAATGGAGGGTGTAAGGAAATAGGAATTCTCATATCCTCTGGTAGAAATATAAAGTGGAAAAACTTGGTTGGTTGGCAAGTTTGAGGCAGAGACCATACTCTGTGTTCATCAAACTCTGTGTTTTCCTCCTGGACACACACTAAGACTACATTTCCCAGCCTCCCTTGCAGTTAGGAATGGTCATTTGACTGAGTTCTGGACAAAGGGAAGGTGGCAGAGGAAGTGATATGAGTCACTTCCAAGTCCGGCCCTAAAACCACCTGTGCAATTCTCCACGTGGTTACTTGTGCTTGTTCTCTTTCTCCCTCCCTTTCTCCCTCTCCCTCTGCCTATTGGCTGAAATCAGAACATCCAGGGAAGAACTCCAAGGTCCTGGAAAATGGGGAGCCATCATATGAACAAATCCTGTTTCCAGGTGACTGGGCAGAGCTCCCTCCACCTCCAACCACATAACTTACATTGAACTGCAACTTAAGAGAGAAATAAATCTTTATTGTGTTAAGCCCCTGAGATTGGGGGGTATTTGTTACAACATTTAGCCTATTCTGACTGATGTAGTATCAAAAGCCTTAAATATATTCATAAGCGTTGACCTAGCAGTTACATTCTTTGGAACATGTCCTAATAATTAAGAGTAGTCACTACAGTGTTGATTATAATAGCAAAAAAAAAAAAATTGTAGACAACATTCATAATGAAGACCAAAGCCTGAGACCTAATAGAAGATTCATTAAATAAGTAATACAGCTCAGCAAAGATAGACACAATATCACTGAAGTGCATTTCTTGATATGAAAAACCTTCATGATATAGTGTTCTGTTAGAAAGAGCAAGTAACATAACAATATAACCATTTATATATGAATATATGCATAGAAAAAAGTCTGGAAATATACCAATATAGCAGTAATTATTTCTGGTATTAGGATTACAGGTGGCTTTTTTTTTTCTGCAGTTTTATGCTTTTTCTGAAATTAGCATATATTTCTTGAGCTAAAAAAAAATTTTTTTTAAAGTAGCCTGCCAGAAATGGATGTCTCCTTTGAACTTGAAGGCTGGCCTTGCTCTCTCTGTGTATAAGTGTATTATGTGCAAAAAACCCCACCTAATTCCTTTGGATCCTCTGCTGGTCAGGGGCTAAAACCCCACCATCCCTAAGGTTAAACATCTGTTTGATCTTCACCACGGGGAGCAATGCCCAAGCAGTTCCTGTGGCTTCCAGGCTCAGTTTTGCTGACAGAGTGCCCTGGCTTTAAGGAAGAAAGTGTCCTTTTTTCTCTCTTTTTTTAACATCTTTATTGGAGTATAATTGCTTTACAATGGTGTGCTAGTTTCTGCTGTATAACAAAGTGAACCAGCTATATGTATACATATATCCGCATATCTCCTCCCTCTTGCATCTCCCTCCCACCCTCCCTACCCCACCCCTCTAAGTGGTCACAAAGCACCGAGCTGATCTCCCTGTGCTATGCAGCTGCTTCCCACTAGCTATCTCTTTTACATTTGGTAGTGTATATTTGTCCATGCCACTCTCTCACTTTGTCCCAGCTTACCCTTCCCCCTCCCTGTGTCCTCAAGTCCATTCTCTACGTCTGCGTCTTTATTCCTGTCCTGTCCTTAGGTGTTTCAGAACCATTTTTTTTTAGATTCCATATATATGTGACAGATGAATGGATAAAGAAGATGTGGCACATATATACAATGGAATATTACTCAGCCATAAAAAGGAATGAAATTTAGTTATTTGTAGTGAGGTGGACGGACCCAGAGTCTCTCATACAGAGTGAAGGAAGTGTCTTTTGATCACAATGTTTTCCAGGATTTCCTCAGAGAGTTGATGGGCCTCAAAACTCTCTTCTTTTGGTTCCCAGTTTGGATGATTTTGGAAAACTGTGGCCACAGATCCTCTCTCCCTCGAGAGGAGCTGGGTGATGCAGACCCTGCCCACGCTGCAGACAGCAGGGCAAGAAATTACGCTCTAACCATAGGTCTTTATTCCGAAATCCAGCAGCTTTGCCACAAGATAAACTCAAGAGCCCTGAAGCCTTGGTGCCCTGACCTACAAGATCAAAGAGTCTCATGCAATCTCTCTTAGTGAACTTTGAACACAAAGTAAGGCTACAGGTTTTTGTTTTGGCCCTCCAACCACATGATCATGCCAGAATTAAGTTGGAACTCCAATCTTTTTTTCCTCCCAAATGACTCCCTGCCCTTTTCAACAGACCCTCACACAGAGAGGATAAGCCACTGAGGTTTCCTGTTGTGGAAACTTCTTTGTGTTCTGTGGTGGGACCATATATTAACACAACCCCTGTAGAAGATTTGTGTGTAGTAGGACAAAGCTATTTTAGTTGAACTTAATGTCTTTTTGGCAAATCACATGTCCCCCAAGTGAAGACATATAAGGAAGGAATGACTGTTTTGTTTTTTTTTTTGCGGTATGCGGGCCTCTCCCTGTTGTGGCCTCTCCCATTGCGGAGCACAGGCTCTGGACGCGCAGGCTCAGCGGCCATGGCTCACGGGCCCAGCCACTCCGCGGCATGTGGGATCTTCCTGGACCGGGGCACGAACCCGTGTCCCCTGCATCGGCAGGCGGACTCTCAACCACTCTGCACCACCAGGGAAGCCCGGAATGACTTATATTTGACATGAGATACTGATGGGCTGTGTCGGGAAAATGGGCTCCCCCCGGAGCAAATGAAGACCAAAGCCTGGGACCTGAGAGAGCCGACAAGAACACCTTCATAATTCTTTTCCATTCCTTCCCACAACTCAAATCCTCCCTGCCTTTCAAGGCCTAACCAAAGAAAGTACCCACAAAGGCCTCCGTGGGTAGGTCAGCCCAGACCAAGGTCTTTTCTGCTCCAAATCCCTTTCTAGTGAAAAGGCTCTGTGGTGCAATATACAACCCAAATGCTGAGAGCTCTGAGTGAACACCTTCCGGGCCAGTGCAGTCACAGTCACATCAGAGCCCAGCTTACCACTGCTCGGGCTTCCCACCCACTCAGGTCTCAGCCCCTTGAAGATTCCCCTTGCCCCGGGTATTGGGAACCCAGCAGAATGGTAGTTAAGCACACAGGCATTGGAGCTGAAGTGCTGTGTGGTCTTGGGCAAGAGGCTAACTTTCTCTGGGTCTCACTATCCTCTGTGCCTGCTTCCTCACGTACAAAATGGTCTTAATAGTTGTGAGAATTAAATGAGGGAACTCATGTAAGACACTTCACACAAAAAACTTAGTGCTTCCATTTTTTAAAGTGGCCCCCAAGTTCTTTGACACCCCTCCCAACCAGAGATGGTGCTCTAGGCCCCCTCTCCTGGAATCTGGTCTCTGAAACTGCCTGACCAATAGGACATAGGTGAGAGCTGCCCCACGCCTTCAGAAGTGTAGACAAGGCTTGAGCCCCGCCTTGCTCTTGGAACCCGAGCCTGGCCACCCAGAGGGGTGTGTTCTGGTGGAAAGCCCAGCCAACAGTCAGCACAAAGCTGACTCCAGGTGCAGCCATCATCTGACCATAATCTTGGAAATCGGAGATCAGAGACCCTTGCTGACCCCAGTCAGCCCCCAGAACCACAAGTGATAAGAGTAAAAATAAATTCTACGTCACTCAGTGTTCCAGGTATTTGTTGCTTTGAAGCCTTTACTTGTTGCTTGCAGGAGGCCTCACGCTGGTTCAGGAGTGATACTGACCCTCACTCACCTTTCTTCCCTAGGCAGCTGGACCCTCAGTCATGCTGCTTCTTCCTCCCCAGCTTTGTACCGTCAGGTGTGCCCTTCCCCCCGACACATTTGTAGGTGTCTGAACCCAGCTGCAGACCAAATTCAACTTTTCTTTCCAGAGGAGACTTCTCAGTTCCCAAGTAATTCAGTACATTCACAGAATTGTCTGGTAGGGAGGATACTGCCCAACTCCGAGACAGAACAGCCTCGGACATTCACGTGCTGCCTTGTTCTCTTCACTATATTTTCCATGTGTGTTAGCTATTGTTTTATCAAAAGGAATGTAAGTTTCTTGAGGGCAGGGACTGTGTTTTAATTTTATTTTTGGAGCAATTTTAACTTTTGAGCGAATTGTAATTTTTTCAGAAAACGGTGATCATAGCTAACTGGAACAAGATGAATCTGTGAAAAGCCTAAGTCCGTGACGATTCTCAAAAGGGACAAGGCGTCAAGTGTGCTGGAGAAACGTCACACTGCCCAGCATGAGTCTATCGGCGCCCAAAGTGTCAGTAAATGAAACTGGTATATGGGGATAAGTCATTCATTTGTTAAAACAGGGTGAAGGTGGCTCTTATACATGAAGAGTCCACAGGTCGGAGGATTTCAATTCTTTCAGTGCTGTCTCCTTATTGGGTCATTCAAGTCATTTGCTGTAGTCTGTCTGAGATGCAAGAAATATTTTACCTGCTGAGTTGATAGTTTCAAAAGTCTTGCCATTTAGGTCTGGTACTAGATTGCAGGAAGTGTTAGGCCTGAAGGCTAGTCAGTGGCTGGGTTGGGGACTGGGGGGACGATGGTGGTCCTGGGGGCTGTTATACACCCTGCACGATGGCTCATCTATAAACTCAATGCGGAAGCACGGTACATGATGTCTCCCGCTCTGTGGAACCATCTGCATGAGTTTCCCTATCAACTGCCAACCAAGAAGCTTAACGTGCTCTGTGACTGTGGCCTGTGGTCTATCACATGCCTCCCCCTGGGACTACACTGACCGTACCCACCTCCAGGTTGGGTGGCGGTGTCCCCTCTGTGCTCCGGCAGCTTTCCATGCTTATTTTTATCCCAACCCTTACTCTGCTGTGCTGTGTCTGTGTACACACCTCCCCTCCCAACAGACTATGAGCTTCTGGGGGGTCTTGACAGTCATTTGTTTTCCTCCCCCTGTTCCTTAGCAGTAGCAGGATCTCCTTAATAAGGTTTTAAATGAATCAGTACGTGAATGAGTGAATAAATGAAAGAAATAAGTTTCTACTATTTCCTTATGGGTTTAAACCAGCACAGGCTACCTGCTTCTTCCCAAATGTGCCCTGTGTTTCCTTGTCTCTGAGGGGACGATGTCTTATGTTTCTGGAAGCCTTCCCAGTGCACACAGTAGTGTAGCATCAAGACTGGCTGCATAATTTGTATGGTCCGGTGAAAAATGAAAAAATGTGCAGTCACACATTTCAAAAATGGTTAAGAATTTCAAACTGGTGACAGCAGAACATTAAACCAAGCACAGGGCCCTTCTAAGCGCTGCGCCCTGTATGACTGCACAGTCACACATCCGTGAAGCTGGCCTGTGTTAGCAGCTGTTGTTTGCATCAGCTGGCCACGCCCCTCCCCGTGGTAACGGCAGCTTTTGTTTCTACGTGGCTTGTATGGGACTGATGCCACCACTGCTACCTCGGAGGCAGGCATGAGGTACAGGTCTGGCCAATGAGAGCACTGCATCCTCCTGGTCATGATTGGTTCAGGGAAGGGCACGTGACCCAAGCACAACCAATGAGAGCCATACCTCAGAATTTTGCTGTAGGAGAAAAGGAATATTTTGCTGGTGCTACTAAGTCCTCCGCAAGTAAGCCTGGAGTCCTTGGGGGTTGCTAATTGGGGAAATCCTGGCTGACCTTGAAAAATCACAGCTGAGAAGATGAGGCACTGAGGGAAGAGATTCTTGCCAGCGCCATTTAAGCAGTTGATTGAGCTGACCTTCTGGACTTCTCCTTTTTTCACTTGTATAAACCACTAAATTTCCTTCTTGGCCTAAATCAGCTTACCTTGGGTTTCAGTCACTTGTAATCAAAACGGTCCTGACTAATGGGTCATGCTTAATAAATACCTTTCAGTTTGAGTAATAGACCTGCAGGGCTTGAAGGAATCCATTGTTTAGTTCTATCACCCATTCTTCGCTTGGTTCCATTTGACTTGAGAACCAGGGCAAGAACTAGAATAGCCCAGGGAGACTGTGACTGCATTATTAAAACGAGAATTTAATAGTATGTTAAGAATGTGTCTCTTACTCATTCATGTTCATTGTTTTGTATGTAGAAGGAGACAAGAATGAGGAATGTGGGGTGGAAGGCCTTTTTGCTTTGGAGATTTGAAAACAAAGTTTTTACGTTAATCATCCTTCACTTTTATACTATGAAAGAATAATAATAAAGTTTATTGTTTCAAAGGATTTGAAAAGATGCCACTCAAGCCAGTTCCCCTTTCCACAGACTGCTAGGGTTGCCGGTCCAGGTAGGTAACTCCGACCAGCCATGCCAACCCTTCCTGTAAAGCCAAGCTCTGCAGAGCACACAAGTCCAGGTGAGCCCTGCCCTCTGACCCCAGGACTCAGCCTGCCCACACCTCCCCTCTCTGCTCAGAGGGGCTGTGCCTAAGCCAGCAGGCCCGCTGGGTGTTTCCCGACTTGGGCCTAACCACGCCCCACCGGCCTCCTTTCGCATTTCTTTTGGAATCCTGAGCAAATCCTCAGATTGCCGACTCTACTGTCAACAGCAAACGTTATCTATCCTCTGGCTGTGTTGGCAGGAAAACCAAATTTTTATACCTCCAGGCTGGCCAGAATCTTGAGACCAGTTACCTTCCCTCATGATCTCATGCCGGTCATCCTCCACTTCCGCCCAGAGTGAAAGCCTCATCTGTGCTCTGCTCGACTCTCAGGCCAGCAGAGCTTTCTGACATCCCCTCTGCGCTCCCCCATTTCCCCCCCCCCGCCCCATCTCCCACTGCAGCCTTCCCTGACAACCCCTTCCTTTGGGTTGGCCTCCTCTGTTCCATTGTGAACGGCCTCTCCATCCTACTTCTGTGCGCAGACTCTTTTTTGCCTTGGTTGACACTGTAATGTATCTCTCCAAGGAAACCACCTTCCCCCCATGGGCCCCCTACAATTCCCATTTGGAAACTTCCAGGGCCTCTCGCCACTGCTAGTCCTGCCATCATCCTGGGAGAGTTTAATTTTCTTCTGGGTGTCCTAGCCTTAGGTTATCCACCTCCTCAACTTCAGGGACCTTTGACCTCTCACCACTTCAACCATGACCATATCCTGTATGTTCTCAAATCTCAGGACTGAAATGTTAAACTCCAATATCCCTAAACTTGGTTACCAGCGTTCACAATGTCAAACATCAACATTTTTGCTTCACTGAGACTTCTGGTCAATGGTCCACTCCATTTTCCCTAAACTCATGCATTCAACAAATATCTACTGAGTCTATGCATGTGCCAGGTACTTTCAGGCAAAGCTGGTGAAGCTTCGTTCTAGTGGGAAGATGTTTCAGTTACCTCCTGCTGCACAACAAACCTGCAAAATTAGTGACTTCAGACAACGAGGACTTACTGCGTCTCAGAATTCTCTGGTCAGGAACTGGTCAGGGCTAGGTTAGGCGGCTCTTCTACCTCCCTGGGTGCCAGCTGGTATCACTCACTCATCTACACTCAGGCAACACCACATGTCTGGCACTTCCATGCTCCTCCATATGGAAGCCTGAGTTCCTCACAGCATGGTGGTCCAGGGTAGTCAGCCTCGTTACCTAGCAGCCAGCTTCCGAGAGTAAAAGTGGAAGCTCACACGTCTCTTAAAAGTTAGGCCCAGGACTTGGACAGCATCCTTTCTGCTGCATTCTGTCAGTCAAAGCAAGTAATAAGAAGTCAAAAGCCCAGTCCAGATTCAATGAAAGGAGAATCAGACCCCACCTCGTGATCAGTGTACATACAATGAGAGGAAGAATTGACGGTGGCCATTTTTGGAGATTATTGACTACAGAGGAGGGAGATAATAGATATGTGGACAAATAAACAGAGAAATGCCTGAGAGTAATGAGAGCTGCTCAGAGAATTGAAACAGAGCAATTTGTGCTCCTGTAGATTTGGGGGGATTTTCAAGGAGAGCCTCTCTGAGGAAGTGCTATTTAAATTGCAACTGGGAAGGCGAGGATTGCCAGCCATGTAAGGATCCTGGCAGGAGAAAGAGTTGGCACAAAAGCTCTAAAGAGAATGAGCTGGGCATGTTTTAGGAACAGAAAAAAGGGCCAGGTGTTAGGAGTGTGGACAATGACAGACTGTGTGACTGGAAACGAGGTTGGACTGGTAGGAAGGGCCAGACCAAATGCACCCAGGTAAGGAGGCTGGATTTTCTTTCAGGAGCAGTCAGTGGAAAGCCACGGAAGGGTTTTAAGCAGAGAAGGGACAGATACATCGTTAAAAGGTCACTCTGGCTGCCCTGTGAGGAACAGGTTGTGAAGTACAAGCGTGGAAAGAGCAAGACTGGTCAGGGGCTACTGTGGAGCCCAGGACCAGGAGATGGTGGCTCATTTGGCTGCCAGATGTAGGGAGGAGAAGAATGGAGATTTGTTTGGGGGTTGGGCTGTCAGGAAGAGCCAAGACTTGTCTTGGTTCAGGTCCCCTTCATGCCTGGGTGATCACTGCAAAACCTCCTGAACGCACCTCACAGCCGGCTGTCACAGTTAAGTGCCCCTCCTTAAACAGCATCTTAGTGTTTTTAAGATATCTTAAATTCCGTATCTTTGCATGTAAGCCAGCCCTTCATCATAGGCTCTACTCCCCACTTAGGCTCGTTTCCAGTCCCTGTCCCACACCTGCTCTTTGCTCCAGCCCTATCTGATCATTCACTGTTGCCTGATCACACCCTAGCTCGTGATCTGGTGCCTGGCATGTGCTGTCTTCTTCCTAGAACGCATCTTCTCCCCCACGTCTATTCATCATCTACCTAACGTCTATTCCACCTTCAAAATCTAACAGATGTCGCCTCTTCCAATAAGCCTTTCCTAAAAACGTACGTTAATTTAGATTTCTGGGCCCTCCACACAAGGCACCATGGATAGCCACTTCCTTGTCTATCTCTTCCCACTGAGTGTGGGTCCCGAAGGACTGGAACTCCCTAAGTGAAGGGAGTGAGAAATTTAGGAGAGCTGACGCTATCCTATTTGGCATGATTTGCCCTTGGAGTCAGAAAATGTGCATTACAAGGTCAAATCACAGCAGAAAGATAGATGTGATAGATCCTTTTTACTGAGTTCCTCCTTCTCTCAGACCAATTTTGGGAGGTTAGACTCACCACTTGAAAGAGGGGAGAACTTACGTTCCTCTGTGCTCAAGATTCTCGGGGAAGTCTGCTCTCTGTACATACAATGTATCAACATCACTGTTGATAATAGTATTGACGTCTGGCAAAATTAGTACTCAGATTGCCTTTCCCCTGGGAAAGTCTGAAAAGCCTACTGCTGCCAACACCAAGTTCATTGTGATGTTTAATGGTAAATACACTACAGTTGCTGACTTCCAAATCTATACCCAGACCTGGTCCTTGCACTGAACTTCAGACTCTGAAATCCGAGTGCCCGATGGGCTTCTCTTCCTGGATGGCCCCCCAAACTTGGCAGGTCTAAAATGAAACTCATCACCTCTCCTACTCCTGGATACCCAAGACTGGGAGTCTAGCAGTAACTCTGGGATGAGTCACCGATGAATATCTGCGTTCATCCTCTTCTTCCTTCTGATTCCAGAATCCTGGTCCAAGGCCTCAGCTTCTCTGGCCTGTACAACCACCAGCCTTCACCAGCCTCCCTGCTCCTGGCCCATCCTCCTCTGGTTTTCAGGGGATCCACCTGAAATGCAAATTCGATCTTGTCCCTCCCCCACCTGAAACCCTTTAATTGCCCAACACAGGTTAGCAAACTTTAGTTTGCATCGGAATCATTTTGAGAGCTTCTTTAAAATGCAGATTTGAGCCCCTAGCCAGACCCGAAGAAACCAGGATCTGCTGTGTGAAGCCAAAGGATGAACATTCTTAACATCCTTAGTGCCCAGGGATTCAGGTAGAGGGCAGGTGGGTCCACCCCAAGAAGAGTGTGGTTCAGGGGAGGAATCCAAGCTCCTCATTCACTTTACCTGGCCCTTCCAGCATCCCCAGCCTTCTTAAGTGAGGTCGTAGCCACCTCCTTGCCTCATGCACCCCCTTCTCCACACACCCTGCTCTCCAAGGTACTTCTCATCTTTGACCTTCGTTATATCTTGCCTGTTTCCAGGAATGTCCTCTCTGAATGACTCCTCTTTACAATGAGTTCGTGAAATGGAGTCCCCCTAAAACTGAGTTCCCCTGCCAAGTTTACGATTAACCTCTCTATCCAAAACTTTATTCCCTTTCTTGTTCCGCCCCTGTTCCCCTCAGGATTGAGGAGTATCAAAGAAAAGGGAGCATTGAAACCGAGCAGGATCCTGTGGGGCCCTCCCAGACACGAAAGCCCCTCCATGTTCCCCACTTCTTGTTTACAGAAAAAGACTTTATAATCTCCTAGGCTTTCCCGGCATTCCAAAGAGCAGACATAGGCAGTTACTAATTAGGGAAGTAAGGGAATGCAGAAACAAAGGAAAGCAGTCAAGCAATGATACTTTAAACAATAGTTCAGCGATAAAACAGAGTCCTAGCTCCTCTTCAAGGGATATACATAATAGTCTGACTCATATCTTTGAGTTGTTCTACGGAAACTAAGACCCCCCGCCACCCAGGTGGAGGATGGTGTCTGCATGCTGACCACGAGCTTGTAGACCCCAGACTGGTTGGAAACTGAAGGTTGATGATTGAGATTTCCAAAACATCGCCCCGTTACCTCCCCACCAACCAATCAGAAGAAAGTCATGCACCCTGCAACCCTTCCCGCAGATGTTGCCTTTAAAAACCCTTCCCTGAAAGCCATTGTGAGCTCTGGTCTTTTGAGCATGAGCTGCATGTTCTCTTTGCTTGGCACCTGCAGTAAATGCTGTACTTTGACCACAACCCAGGGTCAGTAAATTGGCTTTGCTTTGCAGCAGGCGAGCAGACTCAAGGTCAGTTCGGTAACAGTAACTCTTACCTTTGTAACTTTCCTACTCAAGGCTTCAGCACCACCTGGGAGCTTTTAAGAAGAGCAGAATTGCAGGCTCCACCCCAGCCCTACTAGATCAGACCCCAGGTGATTCCTATGCACTTCAGAGAAGAAGCAAAACTCTATAACTTGGCTCAAGAAGCACGTCTTCCAGGAAGCCTTCCTAGATTGGCACACTCCCATCAAGCATTCCTCCAAATTAACACTGGGCATGACTACCATGTACTTGTAACAGTTCATAAGTTAGGACTCCCACAGTCCAATGGCAGAGAACTGTCATATTTAAAGTGTT